AAAGGAGGCAGAAAGAATCAGCAGAGTTCGATCCCCGGTTCCACCAAAAAAAAAAAAAAAAAGAATCAGCAGGGTTCTCTCTTCAGCCCCAGCAAGGACCCTAAAATCAGGAAAACATCTGCCAGAAAAGTAAAAAGTAGCAAAGAAAATCCTGGTTTTAAAATTGTATACAGGAGGTGGGGAGATAGCTCAGTAGCATAAGTGCCTGCCTGGCAAGCACAAGGTCCTAAGTTCAATTTCCAGTGGGGAAAAAAAAAAAAAAAAAGTATAAAATGTACTGGTCATGATCCATGGCTGTTGAACCTGGGTTCTTAGATTGGGATTTTACATGGAGACCATGTGGGCGGCAGGCAGGGGCTCCTTGGTGTCCTGGTAGTGTCCGCAGGGCAGCAAGGGCCCAGCTGGCTATTGTGGGCTCAGTCCTCATCCTCGCTGTTGTAGATGCCAGCCTCCCAGCGCCTGGCCATGGCATTCTTGTGGCGGGTCACCCGGGTGGCTCCCAGGATCTGCATCAGAGGAGGCATAGAGTCCCCGTCAGCGTGTCCCCCCCATCCTCCCACTGGCCTAAAATGGTGAGGCAGGACCAGCCCTACCTGGGTTTTAGACCCTTGGCTCCCAGGAATAGGACAAAAGAACTGCTGAGTTGTTCTCAGCTCCAGCAGGAAAATACCAGGGTCTGGCTTTTTTCTCTCTGTGTGTGTGTGCCTGCATGCCTGCGTGCATGCACGTGCGTGTGCACGTATGCGTGTTACTAGGAACCCAGGGCTTTCATACTGAGCTACATCTCCCAGCATTTTAAAATTTATTTATTTGCAGAACTGGGGATTGAACTCAGGCCCTTGCACTTGCCAAGCAAGCGCTTATTCTACTGAGCTATCTCCCGGGTCCCTCCCAGGCCCCTCCTGGGCCCCTGTGTTTGAATTTGTGATCTTTTTGCCTCAGCCTTCCTGAGTACTGGGGTGATAAAGTTATGCACCACCACATCTGGCTGGATCTGGCTTTTTGAGCTTAGCCTAAGAAAAAACACAAATCATCATCCCATGGATCGACTGAGATAGCTGGGCATCCTTGTTCAGAGTGGTGCCGCCTGTGATCTAGGTACTCAGGAGGCTGAGGCAGGAGGATCATAAGCCCTGCCTAGGCAACTTAGTGACACCCTGTCTCAAAAGACAATTTTATTTATTTATTTTACTGGGGATTAAACTCAGGACCTGAGTTTGTGATTTCTAGGCAGGCACTTATGCTGCTGAGCTATCTCCCCAGCCCCTCAAAAGACAATTTTAAAACAGGGCATGGGGGGCTGGGGAGATAGCTTAGCAACATAAATACCTGTGTGGCAAGTGTAAGGTCCCGAGTTCAATCCCTGGTACAAAACAAACAAACAAAAAAATATGGCTATAGGTGTAGCTCAGTGGTGAGTGCTGGCCTACCCCATGTGAGGCCTGGGTTCCATCCCTGCACTGCAAAAACTAAATAAATGAGAAGTGTCCTTGCTTTGTCCTAATCTGCTTTAAAACCATCATCTGGCAAAATGGTGACACACGGATTCTTTTGGTGTAACTGGTGCCTGTGGCAGGCATCACAAGCAGATCCTAGCATACTCCACCTTAGGCAGACATTACCAATGCAGAGGACACCCACAATCATCCTTATCCTGGAGGAAAGGTATGGAGGAAAAGCCTGGTTCCCCCCACAGCCCAGGAGCACTCACCTCGGAGTTGATCCCGTCCGAGGGGTTGATGCCTGCATACTGCAAGAAGAGGACAAGAGTCAGCCCTGCCCTTCCTGTCCTGCACCAGTGCCCTATGGATGTCCAAAATGTAGCTGAATGTCCACTGAGGACACCAGGGAAGACGTCTCTTGCCGGTGAAGCCCTCCCAGTGTCCCACAATCCCCCAACCTCGGGGCCATCCTCCACATTATCCCCTCATGACATTTTATCTTTGGCCCTGGGATGAACTCCAATGGGGACAAAGACCCCATGTGGCTTCTCTGAGCAGACACCAGGTACAGATGCCTTATTTATTAGTCTGTACTTCGCGTGCAGGGAAACCGAGGCACAGCCACGGGTGGGTGACAGTGATGGTGATGTTAGGCAGACCCAGATTAGACCTGGGGCTCCTGTGACCCACTTGAGGCTCCCATGGTGGGTTGCTGGACTCTGGGAGGAGGAGAACAGCCTCTGCTCACCCACTGTCCCTTCATCCTGTGTCCAGAGGCATCGTCTATTGGGCTCTCCGCAGTCCATACCAGGCCTGAGTGCAGGTGGACGGGGGTGAACAGGGGTGACTCAGACACAGAGTAGCTGCCTGTGATGCCTGTGGGGGGCAGGAGAAGGAAGGGGCATTGCAGCATAATTGCCAGACCTCAGCTCTGGAGATGCAGGGATTCTGGCCAAAGCACCGAAACCATCAATGAACAGAGAGAGAGAACAGGCAGATTGACCAAAATAGTCGAGAAAAACTGGATTGGTAGAAGGTAGAAAAATAACAAGCAACCCTGGAAGACACTGCATATTGATAAAGAGAAGCCGTTGACCAAGAGGTTAAACAGCTGTAAATTTCTATGCAACTAATAACAAACTGCACGAATCCATAAGGCAAAAAACGTAAGGCACAACTGACATTCTTCCCAAATCTACAGCTTAAGTAGTTGATGGAGGGTAAGGATCAGATTGAGGAGATGCTCTTGCTCCCCGATGTCCTTGAATCCCACCTCCCTGTCCATTGCTCCAACCCAAGTCATGGGCTGGAACAGCCAGTCCTGTCCCCTCCTGTCCCTTCTCACCAGATGCCCTGGAGGAGCTCCTCGAGCCTCGCTCACAGTCCTCATCTTCTGGCGTTGGGGAGAAGACTTCGGGGAAGAAAGCGTTCCTCCGCTGCTCCTCCACCTCCCGCTCCCTGCGCAGCACATCCTCCACCTCCCTCTCCAGCAGATCGGATGACTGGGACCTCTTCAGCTTCAATGAGGGGCCCCCAGCCTCCTCCCAGCCCCAGACATGGGGAGTCTCAGCCTGACGCTGCACTTCCGGGACCCTGAACTGCAGAGGTCGCAGGCGGAAGTGCTCCCGTGTCACCACGATCCCGGTGGCTTCAGGGTGTCCCCCGGGGGACTTTGTGCTCACAGGTTTTCCAGAGGATTCAGACAGAAGCCTCTGAATGCCTGCAGACTTTGGAGAGCCCGAAGGCTTGGCCTCTGCCGTGCGGGGACCGTTAGGCTTGCAGTAGCCCCAGAATTGTGAGAACTCTGGCTGGGGGATCCCGCCGCCCAGGTATGGCTGGTAGGCATCAAGGGGAATACGGTTCACCTTCCTTGGCTCTGGAGCCCTGTCAGCTGCCCGGGCATCTGGCATGGAGCTGAGGATGGAGTCTGAGCTCAGTTTCTCCTCAAGTGCAGGCTGTGGGTCCTCAGACACCCAGTCAGGTGTAGACGGCCCACTGGCCTGCAGTCCCATCCGCCGGTGGCTCTCCGCACGCTGGGTCTCCTGCACCATGTCGCGCTGCACGTAGAGGGAAGGGCGGCCCCGGTCCCTCCGTGGGGCCTCGGTCAGGCTAACTTTGTTCAGCACTGGTCGGGTGAGGATCTCCACCAGCTCCTGGTGGCCAGCTTCCCGCCCAAGTCCCCTCTGCTCCCGCAGGTCTGCCTCACGCTCCTGGGCTAACCGGATCTCCCGCTCAATGGGTGTCTCTTTGGGGAGCTCTGGGGACCAGGAAGTAAGGTCCTCCATGGGTTGGGACCAGAGGTGGGAGACATCTGTTGTTTGGGATTTGAAGCTGGGGCCATCTGCATCTTGAAACTGGAAGCTATAAGAATCCTTGGCGGCTTGGGACCGGGAGCTGGAGTTGTTAGTGGCTGGGGACCAGGAGCCAGAGCTGTCCGTGGCTTGGATGCTGGGTCCAGCAAAAAACCCATGAGCCCTCTTCTCTACCATGACGACCTTGTCCTTGTCCTGGGCTGTGGCAGGAACAACATACCCATTGGCCAGCTGAGGCTCCTTTGAGGCCTTGGAGGCCTGGATGAACCCCAGTTGGGCACGTGCTGGCGATCCTCTGGCCCGGGGACTCTGGGAGTATGAGGCTTCATTAGTGCTTGCCTGTTCCAGCCTCAAAAAGCGCTGCCTTGCTGCCAGGAAGTCAATCTGCTCCCTGTCGATCATGCCTTCCTCCTCTAGGGGACTGGACTGATGGTGGCCGGGTGGCCCGGGGTCCTGGTGGTCAGTGGTTCCACGAAGCGTGGCCACTGTGCTGCCTTTCCTGACTGCCTGCCCCTGAATGACTGCCCAGCGCTCACGCTCCAGGTCCTGTGACTGCCTGGGGAGGCCGTGGCTGGTGTGCAGTAGGTAAACCTTCACCTCCTCCTCTCTGTCCTTCACTGGGTGGCCGAGGACAGCGTGCTTGCTGTGGAACACCTGTGTCTTTGTCCTGTCCACTTCAGCCTCCCAGTCTGTAGGCAAAGATTGGGGCTTGTCCCAAACCCAGCCATTGTCCTCTGGACCCACACCCACCAGCTCAATCCTGTAACGGGCATCCCCATCCAGGGCCAGCCCAGTGACATGAGCTGAGTGTGGGTCACTAAAGATGGGGTATCTGGTCATGCGGTCCATCTCCTCACGGGTATCGGCTGACCTTTCTCCTGTGGGCGGAGACCTCCAGGTTCACTAAGAAAGAAGGAAGTCATGGATCCAGGTCAGGGAATGTGGAGACAGGGGCAACTCCCAGTCCCTCAAAAGGCAAAGTCCCGGGCCAGGGAGATGGCTTAGTAGAATAAGCACTTGCCTGGCAAGCGCAAGGGCCTGAGTTCAATCCCCGGTTCCTGTTCCTCAAAAGAAGAAGAAGAAGAAGAAGAAGAAGAAGAAGAAGAAGAAGAAGAAGAAGAAGAAGAAGAAGAAGAAGAAGAAGAAGAAGAAGGCAAAAATCCCAATCATGCAGCTTCTGTGATTGGTTGAGGGATGGGCAAGTGATCTGCCCATCTAATCACACCATTCCACTCATTGGTCCAGCCCAGCCAATAACAGCTCTTTGACCCAAGCTAGCTAATCACAGTACTCCATTCTCTGACACAATCACAGTGGTTTATTGGCTGACCTCTGTGACTGGTTGAAGGATGGATAACCCTGCTCAGCCAATCACAGCATATCTGACCCAGCCTAGCCAATCACACCCTCTCACCCTCTGGCCTCTGTGATTGGCTGCTCTGGCATGGATAAGTGATTTAACTTGGCCAATGACATGAAACCTTATGACTTAGAAATTAATGCAGTTAATTATTAATTAATGAAAGGCTGGGTGTGGTGGCACAAGCCTATAATCTCAGCACTCAGGAGGCTGGGGCAAGAAGATTGCTAGAAGTTTGAGGCTTGTCTGGGCTATGTACTAAGTTCAAGGCCAGCGTGAATTACAGAGGTAGCACCTGTTACAGTGCAGAATAGAATAGAACAGAACACAACAATTTTTTTTTTCTACCGAGATTTGAACTCAGGACATTGCACTTGCCAGGCAGGTGCTTATGTCTCTGGCAATGAATATTTTTAGGCTGGTGGGACAAAGTGGAAAATGACTGTGGTCATTTATGCCACCGGATAGGCACAGCTTGCTTGAGAGCAATCCCAAGCCTGGCACTGCATGTGCAACAAACATTTGAGCTCCTGGACCCAACCATACCTGAAGGCCCATCTATCTGTGAGTAGCATGGTGCTCCCATTGTAGGACCTAGCACTGGTGCTTGACCACACCCAGATTCTTGTGCCCAGCCTTTGCCCCTTGACTCATTCTGAGCTGTCTATGAGATGACTTACTGGAAATCTATGGGTGGCCCCAGTGGGTCCACACCCTCCCTACTGAAGGACATCAGATGGGAACTGAGTTCTGGACTTAGGCAGTGACTCCAGGTTCTTGGCCCCATATTCTGGTTTTCTCCCCACTCCTGCATAGCATGATGTCAGGATGGGCTGGGAATACCTTGAACCCTGCCCCTGGGCCCAGGGGTGAAGGTGGGTAGGTGGGGGTGGGGCTGCAGAGTCCCTGGCACCCTGACTCCAAAGTTGCAGCTGGGCTGAACTCAAAGCCTGCTTTCCCAGGGTACTGAGGGTCACCCTCTGACACCCCCAGCATCTCCATCAAGCCTGACCTCCTCTCAGGGGTTCTCCACCCTGCACAGCTTCCTCCACTGGCCTCTAAGTCACCTGCTCCAGGAAGCCCCCAGGTTCCCCTCCCTCAGAGCCACTGCCTGGGCCTCTCCCATGCTGGCCTTCTTGGACCAGCAAGCATTAGGCATTGACAACCAGGGAGAGGAGCTCAAAGCACACAGAGCTCAAAGCTGAGTTACACCCGGGTCCATCAGACCCGCTGCTCATGCCTGAGACCTCTGCACCAATGTGGGGCTGACGCTCAATTCGGTTCTTCCAAGCAGAGTGGAACCCCTGCCTGAAGCTGGGTGCGACGGCTCAAGCCTGTGATCCCTGCACTCTGGGAGGCTGAGGCAAGAGGATCACTAGTTCAGCCCAGCTGCAACTTTGACTGAACCTGTTTCAAAATAAAAAAATAAAAAGGGCTGAAATGGAGCTTAGTGTAAAGCCCGGGATTCAAAGCTCAGTACCAAAACAAACAAAACATTAAAAACAAAGAAAAAGTGAAAGAAAAAGAGCTCCTCCCCAAACCAGAGTAGGGCATCAGGCAAGGTGAAACCATGTCCTGGAATGTGTTTCAGCAAGGACTTGCTGTGCCATGCCAGCTTTTGTGTATATTTTTATTTTTATTTTTTTATTACTTATTTATTTATTTTGGTGGAACTGGGGATTGAACTCAGGCCCTTGCACTTGCCAGGGAAGTGCTTATTCCACTGAGCCATCTTCCTGGTCCTTGTGTGTATTTTTATTTAGTGATGTTGAGGAAGGCGTCCAGAGGCTCACACACCAGTCCAGTGCTCACCACCGAGCCCCCATCTCCAGCTTTTTTTTTTTTTTTTTTTTTGAGACAGGCTCCCACTACTTAGCTCATGCTCGCCACATAGCTCAGGCTGGCCTTGAATTTGCAGGGATTCTCCTGCCTCAGCCTCCTGAGTGCTGGGGTTATGGGCGTGTGCCCCCACACCTGCACTGTAGCCTTTTAAAAAAACTTTTCTTAGAATGGGGAGGTAGCTTTGTGGTCTAAGTGCCTACCTAACAAGCTTAAGGACCCTGTACGGAATACATAAATAAATAAATAACAGTTTCGCTAAGTTGCTAAGTTACCGAGACTGGGCAGCACTTGTGACCCTCCTGCCTCAGCCTCCCAGTCAGCTGTTGTAAGATTGCCATTGAGGGTCTGTCTTCACCCACCTGAGATCATCGCCCAGCACCTGCCCCACCTGTGCCCCAGCCAAGCACCCTCCTGCAGGCCAGAGCCTGGGATAAGAAGACAGGCTGGGGCCAGTGATATAGCTTAGTAGCACAAGCACCTGCCTGACAAGAGCAAAGTCCTGAATTCAATTCCAAGTACCAAAAAATAAATAAATAAATAAATAAATAAAATAAAAAAATAACCCAAAAAACAGAGAAAATTGGCTGACCTAGGCATGGTGGTGCATACCTGTCCTCCCAGGGCTCTGCGAGGCCAAGGCAGGAGGCAGGAGGATAGTAGGCTGAAACCTAAGGTGGGCAAATGAGAGGCTTAGGAGACTCTGTCTCAAAATTTAGAAAATGCAACAGGCCGGGGAGGTAGCTCAGTGGGGGGGCCCTGGGTCCATCCTCAGCACAAACAGATGGCGTCCTCCACACAACCCATGCTCACACCCAGGGATGCAGACTGCACTGTTTCCCAGCCCTGAGCCCCATGCCAGTGCTGGCTGGAGGGCCCTATCCTCACGCCCTGGGGCAGGCAGAGGTCACAGCGGGTTGTGTTTGCTTAGTGAGTACACTGACATTCACTGGGTGGGATTTATAGCCAGGGACATTCACTCCAGCCCAGCACCTGTGCTTCGGGGCTGGGGCTCCCTTTGGGTGGGTCCAGGGTGAGGGTGAATCTTCCCCGGCCTATGGGCCCATTCCTCTGTGGTGACTCACTGAGCCCATTGGGTGGGGGTGGGGCCACTCGACCTGGGTTCAAGGCTGCTGGGACCCACTTGGCTGTGACCCGGGCAGATTCACCCAGCGCCTGGGTGGTGGGTATAGACCTTATACTTACACCCTGGGTCCTTGGCTGACCTGGGGTGGCTTGGGGCAGGTGCCTCTCTTGCAAAGATTTGGGTCCCTTGGGAATGTGAGTGTGATGTCAGGAGCAGAGAAAGCTCAGGGAGGGGACCTCAAGGTGATGTTCCCAGTGGCGTGCCACATCTTGTGTCAATGCGCGCGCGCACACACACGCGCGCGCATACAAGACCACATCAGCAAGTCTCCCCTGCAGGAGCCCACAACAAGTTTTTTTCCTTCCTTCCTTCCTTCCTTCCTTCCTTCCTTCCTTCCTTCCTTCCTTCCTTCCTTCCTTCCTTCCTCTCTTTCTCTCTCTCTTTCTTTGTAGGCTGGGGATGGGACCCAGAGCTCTAGGCAATCACTCACCACCGCCTGAGCGCTTTCATTTTCTGAGACAGGCACTCCCAAGTTGCTCAAGCTCTGCTTGGGTTGGAGATCCTCCTGTCTCAGACTCCTGAGCAGCTGCAGTCACAGGTGTACACCACTGAGTCTCCCTCACAGGGGAGCGAACTGAAGCGGGTGCTGAGCACCATCAAGTGACACACAGGTGCGGAAGTTCACAGGCTGGCGCCAGCCGGCCCCCAGGAAGCCTCCAGGGCTGCTCCTTTGCCCCGCCCTGCAGCCTGTGGCACCACAGTGAGGCCGTTTATGGCCCTGGTGTTGAACACCTACTTCCTTTCCCCGGCACCTGCCTCCGCCAAGGGCAAAGGCTCCCCGGATGGCTCGGCCACCCGGTGTTGGGGGTCCCTGGGGTGCCAGGCCCCGTGGAGTTGCAGAGCCTGGGCCAGGACCCTGGGGTCCAGGCTGGTCCTGGCGGACCCTGCCACCCAACTCTCTGTCCTCAACTGGGCCCTCAGGGGGGAGGGATTTATGGCTGAAGCCCCCACAAGGTCTGTCTACCCAGAATTCCCAGACAAGAGGGGCCTCCACGGCCCGGCCCGTTGAAAGCTGGGATTCTGGGATGTGAGCCTTTGGGGCTAACCTGAAGTGCTAGCCAGGGTGAAAGATTGAGGACGGACCCCAAGGCCGGAAGTGAGACTGGGGTGCCAGCCAGAGACCCTAGCTGGGCCCAGCGTGGCACAGGAAAGGATCGGAGTCCTGGGGTGCCCCCAGAGGAGCCACCCCACCCCATCGCCTCCCCACACCCACCCAGCCTCACCTTGGTTCCCCGTAGCCTCCGGCGCAGCTCCGCCCTTCTGCTGCCAGGGAGCAGGGCCCCACGGATCCCAGGTCCCCCAGCCCCACCCAGCGTGGGAAACAAAGTCCAGAGCGGGAGGAGAAAGATGATACCAACACCGGGGGCTGGGTGAGGCGGGCACTGTGCCCGTGGAGCCGGAACTTGGCCCCAAAGCACCGCTGCCAAGACTGGGCGCTCTGGCTGCCCCCAGCGCTGTGTGGAGAGGGGCACCCAGGTTCAGCTGTGGTCACACGGCTGTGCTGCAAGGGGGGAAACTGAGTCCCAGTCCATGCAGCTGGCCTGTCCTGCTCTGCAAACTCGCTCCAGATGGATGTCAGCCCTGGGCCTCACTGAGCGCCATTTTTACTTTTTTTTTTTTTTAAACACAAAGTCTCGCTATGCAGTTTAGGCTGGCCCTGAACTCACTGTATAGCACAAACTGGCCTGAGACTTCCAGCGATCCTCCTGCCTCAGCCTCCGAGTGCTTGGACGACAGGTGTGTACTACCATACCTGGCTCTGAGCCCCAACTTCTTGTTCTAGAGGTGTGGAGAGCATCCAGGTGCCTCCCTTGGGGCTGCAGGGAGAATCCTCAGGGTACCCAGCTGTCCCCCCATCCTGGGTCTCAGGGCAGACACTTTTGGAGTTCTGGACAACCTGACATCTGTGGGGGGTGGAGCACCTCCCCAGGCAGAGGATGGGGCGGGGACACAGCTGAGGGGGGCTTGGGTCCCCCCCACTGGGCTCCATCCTGCCCTGCCCTGAGGCTCACTGTGGGATCCCTCAGAAGCTGCCTTCTCTCCCAGGACAGTGTCCCTAGTTCCAAATCCGAGGATTCAAGGACAGACGCCCCCCCCGCCCCCCGCCCAGTGTGTGCCCCAGCGGAGAGCACCTAACCTGACTGCACAGACAGGAGCCTTTAACCCTGGCTAGCAGATATGGAAACTGAGGTCAGGATGCTCCTCGGCCCAACTGCAGTGCTTGGGATCTCAGGCTCACCCCTTCTCCCCCCAGCCCTTCCCATGGGCCTGGGAGGGCCCAAGGTCAGGGCACCCACTGTGCTGGGGGGGTCCTCATTGTCCTGCTCCCACACCACTGGCATCTCAGTGGGTAGACTGAGGCCCAGAGAGGCAGCAGAAGGACCTGGGGACCTCTAAGAATGGAGCAACCCCCAAAATGTATGCTTCCTGGGGCAGTTTCCCCTCAGAGTGCAGGATGTCTCTGGGGACTCTGTTTCCTAAGCTCTACAAACCCAGAGGATGGGGTGTGGGAGATGTGGGACCCAGGGCTCTCCAGGAAGCAGGGAGCGAGGCCAGATAGCCCACAGCCACCCCACGCCCAGGCCTTACCTGCCCAGGTGCTGCCTGGAAGCAGGTGGGAATCAAGCACCGCCTCTGGTACCTCGCAGCCTCCGTGAGCCCACAAGGCAGGCTCAGATGCAAGTGGGAGAAGTTGGCTGACCCAGGAGGTAGGTCTCAGCCTCTGCTTTTATGGCTCTCCCATCTGCAGGCCCCGCCCCACCTCTGGCCTGGACTTCCCCATTGGTGAAATCCAATTACTCGGGCACTAGGCTCTTCACACTTTTATTTGCTTCTCTGGGAAAATCAAGAACATCAGGGCCTCGTCACACATTGAAAGCAGAGGGGCAGCAAGGGCACTTCAGCAAGGGCTCACAGCTTGGGGACTCGGGCAGACTCGAGGGAGGAAGTGGTGGGGTCCCACAGCCACTGCCCGGGTCACCCCCAGATAGGGCCCCTCCTTCCAGCCACCGGAGGAGCAGACCCTCAACAGTGGCCCAGCTCTGGTCCTGGGGTGGCCACTGAGCCTGCCCCGTGGTGGCTGGAGGTGGTGACCTGGCCACAAGCTGGCCTTAGCCCCGGGCCCTTAGGGACCAGGCCAACAGGCTCCAGAGCCCAAAGCCAACCCTTGAGATGAGGGATTGTGGCCTGTGCAGAATGTGCAGCTGGGGACCACATGGCTGTCCCCAGGCTGGGCCCTCCAGGCCACCTCCAGCGAGAGGGGCCCGCAATGTCACTCCAGGTGGCAAATGGGGGTCTCACGCACCAACCCAGGGGACCTCCCTGCCCAGAAATAATCCCAGCTTGGCAGAGCTGGCTGGTAGGGCCCGATTTCTGGGAGGATCTGGGGCCCAGGCTGGAGGAGAGGCCAGAGGTGGCCCCTGAGGTCCCCAAATTAGCACCAGGAGGAAGAGGGGCCCAGTGAGGACAAGAGCTTGGGACAAGCAGCTTAAGACCCCAGCCCATGGCCCTGGCTAGGGGATAGCCTGGGGCTACTGATACCTTCTGTGTGGGGACACGGCTCTAGGGCTTCCCCAGCTCCATGCACCTGCTCAGCCCCTAATGGGGGACACAGCCACTGGGGTTGTCCGGAGTGGCTCAACCTCGTCCCCTAAAGAAGCATGGCCTCATCCCCAGCGCCCAAGCCCTTGAGGCCAGCGCCTTCGCCAGGCACCCTTGGACTCCAGGTCCCCTTGGAGAGAGTCCATCGAAGGTGGCAGAAAGGCACAGGCTTGGCCTGGGATGGCAGGGAGGCCATGGGCCACTCCAGCCAGACCATGGTGGCCGCATCTGTGAAGCTGCCACAAGTTTTGGGGTGCAGGGGCCCTCATTCCAAAAAAGCGGACGGCCTGTCTCCCTCCCACTGGGTGCAAAGTGCACGGCTCAGAGGTGGGGTGTGTGGGGTGTGTGGTGACGGGCAGGAGCCTGACCCTCTTCAGTGGGAAGAAAATTCAGGGGCCAGGTGCGGACGCGCATGGCTCGGGCCACAAGGCGGTGGGCGGCGGGCGCTGGGAGGGGCCGGGCTGCTGGGTCTGTGTCACGCAGGGCAGGGGCCAGGGTCTGGGGGGCCGGGCCGGCTCACATGATTGAGCAGCATTTACAGCGTTGCTTTTTCAGATCGAGGTCCTGGGGGTCGCTGGTGGTGGCCTCGGGCCCGGCCTGGTCCTCTTCCTTGGAGCCTGGGGCGCTGGGCGCCTCCGGGGCACTGCCGTTGGGTGGCGCGGCCTCCTTGGGCTCGGCCGCGTCCTCGATGACCACCAGCTCGGCTGTGATGGTGTCTTGCAGCCCCAGCACCTTCTTGGTCTCAGCCTCATCCTCCACATTCTGGTAGCCCATGAAGATCATGGTGACTGGGGGCTCCCGGCCGGGCTGGACGCCAGCCGGGCCCGAGGTGGCCTCACCAGGCTGGGCCTGGACCCCGGTGATCTCCCGCCGCAGCGGTGTTGTCCGGACGGTGTCCTCTACCGCTGCTGCTGACCCCCGGGTCTCTGCTGCTGCCCCAGCTGTGGACCCCGCCTCGCTCAGGGTGACCTCATCAGCTTTGTGGATGAGTTCGTCCACCTCGGAGGAGCTGAGTGGGTGAATCCCATTCTCAATGGTGCCATCCACAGCATGGACCACTGCAGGGACAGAGAGAGGGCATGAGAAGCAGGCGAAGGAGGGGCAGGAGGGCAGCTGGAGGGGAAGAGCAAAGCTACGCTGACTGACAAGTAAAAAGCTTGTCTGTAGGGGGCCTGCCCCTTAGCTCAGTTCTTTAAGTGGCTGCTTCAACAAAGCAGTCAGGCTCAGGTTGCTGTGGTTCCATCCCCACAACTCAAGCCAGCCAAACCTGCCCTGAAGGCATTCGGAGAAAAAAAAAAAAAAAAAAAAGCTTGTCTGTAATTCTCACATCTGTAATTCCAACCCTTGGGAGGCTGAGGCAGGAGGGTCTCAAGTTTGAGGCTAGGCTATGCTACACAGTGAATTCAAGTCCAGTCTGAATTACAGAGTGAAACTTTGTCTTAAAAAAAAAAGAAAAGAAAAGAAAAAGAGAGAGCCAGCTGTGGTGGCGCAAGCCTGTAATCCAGCACACAGGAGGCTGATGCAGGAGGATCACTGCGAGTTCGAGACCAGCCTGGGCTACAAAGTGAGCTCAAGTTCAGCCGGAAATGCATAGTGAGACCCTTTCTCAAAAAAAAAAAAAAAAAAAAAAAAAAAAAAAAGCCAGGTGTAGCAGCACCTGCCTGCCACCCAGCTCTTGGGAGACTAAGGCAGAGAGACACTAGCTTGAAGGCCAGCCTTCACTTTGTAGTGAGACCATCCCAAAGCAAAAGAAAGAAAAGCACAAAGCTGCCTATCAGAGTAGGACATGAGGGCTCGACATTTTGGGAGCGGGGGGATTCTCGTCTATCTCTTCAGTCTTTCGGCTCACTCAGTAGTCCTTGATTGTTGCTATATATTTTTGGCAGTCCTAGGAACAGAATTTAGAAATATCAAGCTACACCGCCATCCATATTTCTACTTTTTTTTTTTTTTTTTTTTTTTTTTGGTGGAACTGGGGATTGAACTCAGGACCTTGTGCTTGCCAGGGAAGCGCTTATTCCACCGAGCCATCTCCCCGGCCCCATCTTTCTACTTTTTGAGACAAGTTCTTCTTAAATTGTCCAGGCTGGACTTGAACTGGAGAACCTCCTGCCTCAGCCTTTGAGAAAAAGGATGACACAAGCGTGCACTGCCCCCAAAGATTTAATAGGCCTGAATCACACTTCCACTCCTGCCTTGTCTGTTTCCAAGTGACAGCCCCAAGAAGACTTCACACCACTGTGTCTCTGTCATTTACTACTTGGCCACTGGCCACAGGGACCCAGAGAGACCTGGTCCTGTTAAGCAGGGGCTCTGGCCACAGCCCAGCACCCTTCTCCCAAGCCCCAGCTGCCTGGGGCAGAGGGAGGTGGCTGCAGTCACTGTCTCCTCCCAGCCAAGGGTCAGCCTGCTGTCCTGGATGCTGGCCAGGCAGAAAAGGCACTCTGCTCTGGTTTCCAGTACTGGGAAAGAACATCCCTGGGGACTCTGGCGGCCCACAGGGTGGGGCATGCCCTGCCCACTGGCCACTACCCCATACAAGAATCTGAGCTCTGGTTGCCATGGAAACAGATCCCCTCCCATTACTAAGCAACCAGAGTCCAGTCTCACAGGTCCTGAGTGCCCAGGGGCTGGGGGAGCCAGGCAGAGGCAGGGGTGCTGGGGGGGAGGGGGGGTGGGCGGGGAGGTTAGGACGTTGTCAGTGTATCCCTGTATCCCCACTGACCAGGGCCACAGAGCTGGGACCCAACTAGGTATCTTACCCAAACTCCTCAAAGAACTCTTTTTTTTTTTTTTTTGTTGGTGGACTCAAGATCTTTGCATTATGCTATATTTGCACCTCTTTTTTATTTTTTTACCAGGAATTAAACTCAGGCCCGTGCGCTTGCCAGGCAAGCACTTATTCTACTGCCCTATCTCCCTGGCCCCTCTTCTATAATTTTCTTTTTTTAAAAAAAATTTATTTATTTATATGTGTGCGTGTGTGTGTATGTGTATGTGTCCAGCTCAGCCCACCAGGGGGTAGGGCTGGCTGGCATGTGGTGATGGGGGATTGAACCGCAGTCCCTATGCTTTGTTGAGCTTGTTCTAAGTAGGTGCCTTACACCACTGAGCCATCTCACCAGCCCCTATAATTTTCTTTTGAGACAAGGTTTCATTAATTGCCCACTCTGGGCTTGAACTTCTGATCTTCCTGCCTCAGCCTCCTAAGTGGCTTGGATGACAGGTGTGTGCCACTTTGGCGGGCATGAAAGGACCCCTTGGGGAGCATCATGATCTCTCCGGAAGTGAGTCACCTCTAAGAGCATTTGGCTACTCAGTATAAACAGAGTCACTCTCTAACCTGGCCTCCCATCAGGCCACATGTGGCCAGCATTTCAAAGCCAGGTTGTGGGATCTGCCCACCCTGTGCACATGATTGGAAACACACAGGGAAATATTACTCAGCCAGGAAAAGGGAGAGGTTGGGCTGGTGAGATGGCTCAGTGGTCTAAAGCACCTACTTAGAACAAGCTAAGCAAAGCACAGGGACCGCGGTTCAATCCCCCAGCACCACATGCCAGCCAGCCCCGCCCCCTGGTGGGCTGAGATGGCCACACACACATAAATAAATAAAATTAAAAAAAATAAAAAATAAAAAAATAAAAATAAAAATCTTTAAAAAAGAAAGAAAAGGGAGAGGCTGTGACACTCACCACAGTAAGGAGAGACCCTGAGGACCCTGCTCAGTGAGAGACACAAGACACAAAGGACACAGAGTATGGGCTTTGTGGACAGGAATCACCCGAAACACCCAGGACAGGCAACTCTAGAGATGGGAAGTAGACTAACGGGGCCAGAGCTGGGAGAGGACAGGTAACTGTTAGAGGGATGGATGGGGCTTCCTTGTGGGGTGATGGAAGTCCTGAAACTAGGCCGAGAACGCGGCTGCACAACACTGTGGCTGCACCCAAGCCTCCTGAATCACACTGAAAGTGCTGAACTGTATGGGATGTAATTCCATCTCCAGAGGGAGAACTGCGGGGCCTGGGACCGGCAGCTGCCCCGTGGGCGCCCCCTCCTGGCCACTAGAAGGAATTCATACTGATTTACGTTCATTTTCTGCAGCGCTGGGGATGGAGCCCAGGGTCTGCCACCCCCATTGAACCACACCCCAGCCGCGGGAAAGAGCATTTATGACCAACGTATCCCCCACCCAGCGCACCCAGAGTGCCCGAGGTCCGCAGGACAGCCCAGCCCTGGCTCCTCGCATCCTACGGCCCAGCACTCCATGCCCGGTTCCTGTGCCTTCTTACTACCTTCCTAAGAGCCCCGCCCCTCCCCCACCCAGACACTGGTCCACCCCTCCCCCCGTGTTTTCCTGTGGTCTTTACCACCACTGTGGCCATTTCCATTGATCACGCGTTGGCTGTGTGTTGTCTCTTGGAGACAGATCTCGCTCTGCAGCTCAGGCTGTCCTTGGGTTCACTGTGTAGCCCAGGTCAGCCTCCAACTTGCAGGGATCCTCCCGCCTCAGCTTCCCTAGTGCTGGAATGATGGGTGTATGCCACCAAGCCCAGCTGGTGTGAGCAGCACCTGTGTCCCCAGGACGTCCCTGTGCCTTTGCCACTTGCCTACCTTTGGTCTCGTCCTCGTAGACCTTGATGCCCTGTGGGTGTGGCTCCCGGGGGAGCAGCGTGGTGCTGGACAGCACCCTGGTCTCCCCGGTCACCTTGTCCTTCTCCACCGTGATCTCGACCGAATACATGGCTGGCATGAGAGGCACGGGGTTAACCGCGTCCCACATCTTTGTTCCCCTCGCCAGGTGGCAGCCAAGCGGGATAGGGGCCAGCAGCGAGCGAAAGCAGTGGTGGGACCCGAGTGCAGTGCTGGACGTGGAACCTCCCTAGCTCCACAGCCTGCCATAGCTCCCCAGTGCCTGGCCTAGGGCCCGCAGACCCCGTCCTGGCGTCCCTCCCTGCCACCCTGTCTCTCCTCCTCTGTATGCCTGGTCCATCTGGCTATCAAGCTCCTGTCTCCCACCCAGGCTCTGTCAGACCAAGGTTGCCGGGCGCCACTGTGCCTAATGTCTGCCACCAAGGTCTGGGTTGTCCCTGGCCTGGCTCCCTCAGCGACAGCTGCAGAGCCCTGTCCTCCTCAGTCCCCAGCCCTTGGCCTCGGAGGCTGCTCTCTGCCCTGGAGCCCCTTTCACAACCAGCTCTCCCCTCTGTAGGGTGTCGCCAGCACCCCTCACCCCTTCCACATGACCTGTCTCAAATGACTCCTGTCCCACCATGCCCAAGCCCTCTCCACCGCCAGTGCCTCCGGTCACCAGCACTGCCCTCTGCCGGCCACCTGATCCGTCATTCCCGGCAGGGGTTCCCAGGTTCAAGCCTGGACCCTTCAGCAGGCCTTTCCCAGTGTCCTCCAACCGCCACCAGGGGGCGCCACGAACACCCAGGTCAGGTCCCTCCTCTGCCCAGAGTCCTCCATGGGACAAAGCCCAAGTCCTCCTCACAGCCACAGAGTCCTAGAAACACGTCCCTCCCTCCAGTTCCATGCTTTCTGACAGTTTTCTCCACAAGTTAACTGAATAGCCAGTCGCTGCCACCAGAATACCACCCCCTAATGAGCCCTATGCCTGGCACACAGCAGGCACTTGATAAGCATTTGTTGAATGAATGAATGATGGTTATGTAATCCCTTGTCCTTGCGCTGCCTCACACTTCCGCCCACAAAAACATCTATCTCCAAGGCTGCCCATACAGTTGGGCAGGGTGAGAACTGTAGGGTGTGACTTGAGCTCAATTCCTACACCACATTCTAGCGTGGTCACTTCCAGGGGTGGGGTACCCCCTCTCCCCAGGAGCCAGTCCTAATGCCTGTGGCCAGTAGCAGGTAGGAGGTGTGGTGAGCATGTTCCAGGCACGGGCCTGGAGACAAGAGGGAAGGAAGCCACGCGTGTCATGTTAGTGCCGCCATGCGTGAGGCCTGTCTTCACAGGGAAGCCTGGCCCAGCAAGGATGATAAAGGCATCAAAGCAGAGCTGTGGCCTGGGTCCAGCCGCCACTGTGTGACCTCGGCCCCCGAGACCCCTCCAGAGCAGGCCTGGATTCCCCCTTCCCACCAGGGATTGCATGGACCAAAGGGGACCCTGGGTGGCAGCTGGACACAGGTGGGGACCGACCCACCTGCCTTCATCATGCCGGAGCCGTCGACCGTGCGCACTGGGGTATTGGAGACTCTCTGTTCTGCTGGACAGAAGAGCGGAGAGGGAGGTCAGCGCGAGGCCCAGGGCCAGCACCCAGAGCCCTGTGTGCCTGCCCTGGAGCCCAGACCCTGGCACACCCGGAGCCTGGCATAGCCAGGTCCGACTCCTTCCCAGGAGGAAACACGCTCGGCCCCACAGCCTTCTCATCGCTCTGCCCAAATGATTTCCACAGAATCCTGGAGAGGCCAGCCTGGATTTTTTTTTTCGATTAATTTTTAATTTTCCAGTAAGACAAGGAGACACCTCTCATGAATAATTAATGCTCTGCAAATCAGGCCAAAGCCTCTTCAGGGGCTGTCGATCCTATGCCCTGCAAGAAACGGGATTCTAGACACGTTCAGTACGCACTGTAAAATAACTTACGTGCTTGTTTTTGCACCAGGATCAGACTTAGGACCTTGGGCTTGCCAGGCAGGTGCTTATGCTGCTGAGCTATCTCCCTGGCCTGTGTTTTTGTTTTTGTTTGTTTTGTTTTGTTTTGTTTTTAATATGTGTATTGGGGAAAACAAAGCTCCTGTCCAAGAGAGGAACAGAAGAGAGAATCCCAGGGGGTTACCCCTAACTTTTGCTTAATATATTTATTAGACTTAGTGGCCTAATGAATGTGATAAACTATTACACGTATTTCTAATGTATATACATATATTTTCTCCTTTCCTTCTTTCTTTCTTCCTTTTATTTTTGAGTTTTTGAGACAAGGTCTTGCTCTGAAGCTCAGGCTGGCCTGAAACCCAGGGAGATCCTCCTACCTCTGCCTTCCGACTGCTGGGATGACCAGAGTGCACCACCACACCTCATTTCTCACCCTATTTCGCAGTTGCAAAAGCTGGGGGCAACCTGCTGCAAGCAAGAGGCTCAGACCTGGAGGGTGTGGGAGCAAGCTCAGGCCGCTGCAGAGTCAGGACATCCCTGCGAACCTCAGTCTCCTCATTTGCCACCGAGTGCTGTGGTGCTTCCACCCCAAGGATGTTAGGAAAGTGCACCACACGGACGATAATACGAAATCCACGCTCAAATCAGGGCTCAGCAGCAACAATAACCACCTATGATCCCCTGCCATCCCCTCTCTGGCCACCAGAGGGCGCAAGGTGCGCACTCCTGGAGCCTTACCTTTGGGCGTGCCCACCGCGGTCTGCAAGAGAGAGAGAGAGAGGTCAGGAACCCGGCCTCGCCTCCCGGGCTGTCCAGGGTCCCCTTTCCTGGCTGATGACAGGCTGCAGACTCAGGAGCTAGTCAAGCCACCCTAAATGCACCCGCTGCCCATCCCCCACATCCCTGGGCTGTTTTCATGGTTAGAGAAGCTGTCTGTTTCAACCCCAGTAGCCCACTGAAGGGCTCCTACTCAACCTTCAAAATCTACACCCTGTGGGAAGCCTGGGCAGCCGTGACCTGAATCAGATGGTTCCTTAGGTGGGAGCTGGAGGCCTCACAGCGCCTGGGGTCTCCCAAGAGAAAGGGGCCTACACATCCTTATTCTCCCCAAACCAGGCCTTGGCAAGCAGATAGGGTAGGGTCTCAGCCCCTGATTCCCAGTAGTCCTCCTGCTTCAGCCTCCCAAGTGCTGGGATGACAGGTGTATGTCACCATGCTTGGGTGCCCTTGCACCTCACACGTGGGGAAAATGTGGCCCAGAGGGACAAGGCAACTTGTTCTGGTCAGGAAGGGGCACAGCTTCACTGAGACCTGCGGGGGCCCAGCCCAGTCACCCCTTACCGGCTGTGAATTCAGCACCATCTCGGCCTTGGGCTCCTCCCGGGTGGCGCTGGGGGATGGGGTGGAGGCCAGGCCCCGGGCTGGGCTGGGGGTGGCCGCGTTCTCCTTCACCTCTCCATTCTCCAGGGCATCAATCTCCTTCTCCAGCCTATGGTAGGCAGAGGTGAGGTGGTGCCCACGGTGTGCCCTGCGCCTTCTTGGCACTTTCTACCCCATGCATGGCATCAAAAGTGCCCCAGAAACCCCCAGAGCTGCTCTTCTTCTGCCCCGCAACTCAGAGCCAGGTGCAGCAGCACACACTTGTCAGCCCAGCAAGCATGAGGCTGAGGCAGGAGGATTGCCAGGAGTGCAGGGCCAGCCTGGGCTCCACTGTGAGACCCTGTCTCACAGAACACCAGGCAGGGCAGGCAAGCAATGGCAGGGGTTGCGCCAGGCTAGGCCAGGCCACAAAGATTCCTGATGGGAGGTGGGGCTGGGCTACTCATCTTGTCCCTCCCCACAGGCGGCACAGACTCTGGGATACTGGCCGTCATTTCCCTCTGCAGTGACCCTGTGCCCCACACTGGGCCTGGCCCTCCCTCCGCCAGCCCGGAAACCCAGGCGCTTTGTCCCCAGGCCACTTTCCCATCCTGTCCCCTCCCCGCTTCCTGTGCCCAGCTGCCTCAGCCTCAGTATCTGTCAGCACAGGGCTGCTGAGGGCGCAGCCAGCTGGGCTGGCGCCAGGAAGCCCAGGGGAGCCAAGGCAGGCTCCTCCCCGGTGCCACACGCCTGACCCACCTGGAGATGGACTCCTCCAGGAGCCGGGCCCTCTGCTCATCCTCCTGCATCTGCCTCCGCATGTCCTCGTCCCCCTCTGAGGCTGACGATGGTGTCCCCTCTAGCAGCCAGCGTTCCCGCAGTGCCTTGGACTGGGGCACAGGGGTGCAAGTCAGGGTCAGATTTGGGGGTGTGAGCCAAGCGTGCCTGCAACTCCAGTGCTCAGAAGGCTGAGGCAGGAGGGTTGCCACAAGATCATCAGCCTGGGTTACGCAGTGAGTTCAAGGCCAGCCTAAACTGCATGGCAAGACCCTGCCCCAGCACCCCCAAAAGATTTGAGATCCTGCTTACCCATCCCCACCCCACCCCACGCGCCCCACCTTCAGGTGCTGCAGCTGCCGCCTGTCGTCCTCCAGCTGTCGCCTCTTATTTTCAATCTCTGCCTGCCTCTTCCGCCGCTCCTGGAGGGGGGCCCTGACATCAGCAGGGTGGGCTTGGGGGCCTGAGACCCCCCCTCCCACAGTCCCCCACCCCCAGGCACCAGGCACTCACCGCAATGGCCTGGAGCCTCTCCTGCTGGGCTGCAGTGTCTGCCGTCAGGACCCTGGGGATGGATCAAGTCAGGCTGGGACCCTCCCCCTCCATCAAGGGGCCACTTCCCATCCCCCTTGGCACAGTGCTGCTTTCTCGGCCTTACACTTCATGAAGTAACTCAGCAAACCCTCCGGCAGCTCCCTCTGTACAGAGCCGAGAGGCAAGAAGGGTTTGGGAAAGCACAGCAGTAAGTCTGGGTGGTTAAGGGTGCACAGGAGCTCACCGGGCATCAAAGGTCAGAGAAGGGGTTTGGGGAATACCCACGTCCCTCCCCTCCCAGCCCAGTGTGGAGGATCAATCAGGACAGCCCTGCCGGATCCTCCTGCCCAACATGCCGTTTTCTGCAGCCCCAAAGGGCCTGCCAGGCTGTGGAAGCCCTGCGCTGCTGAGTCCCTGATGCTATGCAGGACATCGAAGGCTTCCCATGCAGCCTGCACCGGCTGCGAGCACCGAGCAGCACCGGCTTCCCAAGAACACACAGCAGGAAACCACCGCAGGACGATTTTTTTTTTTTTTTTTTGGTGGAACTGGGGATTGAACTCAGACCCCTGCACTTGCCAGGGAAGCGCTTATTCTTCTGAGCCATCTCCCCGGCCCCAAAACAGGATTTGATTGACCCATCTCACCTAGAACTTTATTATTTATTTATTTTTCTAGTCCTGGGCGATCAAGACCTGCGATGCAAAGCTGGGCATGGTGGCCCATGTTTGCAGTCCCAGTACTTGGAAGGCCAAGGCAGGAGGGTCACTGCACGTTCAAGATCAGCATGGACTACAAAGTGAGTTTAGGTCTGCCTGGCAAGCTAAGGTTCTGGGTTTGATTACTCATAGTAAATGAAAAAAGTAAGTTGAAGGCCAGCCTGACCTGCATAGCAAGATCCTGTTCTCAAAAACACAAAGAAAAGGGCTGGCGAGATGGCTCAGTGGTCTAAAGCACCTACTTGGAACAAGCTTGGCAAAGCACAGGGACCGCCATTTGATCCCCCAGCACCACATGCCAGCCAGCCCCGCCCCCTGGTGGGCTGAGCTGGCCACACACACAATAAAAAAACAAATGTTAAAAAAAAAAAAAAAAAAAAAAGACAAAGAAAACATGGGGTGTTTTATTCCTGAGCTACATCTCCCAGTCCTGCTTTTTTTTTTAATTTGTGTGTGTGTGTGTGTGGCCAGCTCAGCCCACCAGGGGGCCGGGCTGGCCGGCATGTGGTGCTGGGGGATTGAACCGCGGTCCCTGTGCTTTGCTAAGCTTGTTCTAAGTAGGTGCTTTAGACCACTGAGCCATCTCATCAGCCCCACAGTCCTGCTTTTTCAAATTGATTTTAAGTCAGTGTGGTGTCGCATGTATGTAATCTCAGCACTAGAGAAGCTGAGGCAGAAGGACTGCCATGAATTAGAGCCCAGTCTGTACTATAGTGTGTTTGAGGTCAGCCTGGGCTACATGTTGAAACCATGTCTTAAAAAGGGGTGGGGGGGCTGGGGATATGGCTCGGGAGATGGCTCAGTAGGATAAGCACTTGACTGGCAAACGCAAGGATCTGCTGTGCTACATTAGTGGTTTTTGCAAGTGGAAGCTAGGGACATCATCTCAGCCTCAGCGCCCTGAGGTGGTTTTATTTTTTGTTTATTTATTTTTTGGCGGAACCAGGGATCAAACTCAGGGCCTTGCACTTGCCAGGCAAGCGCTTATTCTACTGAGCCATCTCCCCGGCCCCACAGGGGTGGCTTTAATAGGCACTGAACAAACAGCAGCGTTGTCAGATGCACCCTAAGGAGACAGAGACCTCACATTGCCACAGCAGGGGGAAGGGAGGCTCGGAGTGCCGCCTTCCCCGCCAGCCCCACCCCCTTGGGCGTGTGGGCGGGGCTTCGGGAAAACGCCCCTCCCACCCCTGTCTCCTTTGGGCTCAGGTGCTCCTTAAACTCAGGCTAAGCACAGAGCAATGGACTTAAAAACCGGGCTTGGCGGGGGATGTGGGTGCACGTCTGTCGCCTGTCATCCTAGGGCTCTGGGAGGCTGTGGCAGGAGGACTGCAAGTTTGAATCTAGACTGGGCACTATCATGACTTACAAGGCCCAATCCCTAATCATAGTAATAACAACCAAGGTGAGTTACGATTATAGTAAGCTCAGCCTCCAGGGACACCAGGCAGGCAGGGGAGACTGGGAGGTCCTGAGCTTAACTAGGGGAGCGCCCATTGTTTCCACCTTCATATCACCCCAGGTCAGCTGCCTAGTCAGGGCATTATCATTGGGCAGGAAGTAAGGTCGAGAGGGCTCAGGGACAGCCTGGTGGCTTTGGGGGCAGAGGGAGCCAGGCCCCTTCCTTTCCCCCTCTCCCCCTTATCATCCCAGGGGCTGAAATTACAGTCCATCCTTGAGTCCTGTGCCACCCCCAGCACACTTCAGCCTTGTATCCTGGAGCCCAAAGCCACCAGGGCCTCTGACAAGCTCTCTTCTTTTTGGGCCTCAGTTTCTCCATCTGTAGAAGTGAGGTGCAGCAGGGACACTGAAGCTTGTGCCCAAGCCTGGGTGGCCCCCCAGCCCAGACAACCTGGAGCCCACAGTGCCCTGCCCAACCCACTTGGGCAGTCTCCTGGCCTCCCTGGGGCCTGGGAAGTCACGGGCTCCCACGCCCTGACAGGTGACCCCATCAGCTCCTCCCTGCCTGGCAGGCACCTATGCCTCTCTGTCCCTCCCAGGGCCATGAGGCACCAGTCATACTCTCTGTGTCTTCCCTTTCTTGCTCTGCAGGGAAGCTGGCTCCAGATGCCTGGGGTCACAAAGCTTGATCTAGTTTTCTGGCTGGGAGGCTGGACTGGCTTGTGGTTCTGGGTTGGCCCCTTTCCTTTGTATTGGTTTTGTTTTCTGAGGCAAGGTTTTGCCATGTAGTGCAGGCTGGCCTTGAACTCACTATGTAGCTCCCGTGGACCTCAGACTCACAGGGATCCTCCAGCCTCAGCCTCCCAAATGGTGAGACCAGAGGCCTGAGCACCAGCCCCTGGCCCATCCTCTGTCCACCTCTGCCCCTCTAGCCTCCCTGGCACTCCCTCTGCTCCGACCCAGCTCTTAACCACAGGGCCTGGGCCCCTGATGTTTTGCCTGCCTGGTGAATTCTCCCTGAGCTGCAAGTCAGGCCCAAAGAGAGCAAGGCAGAGGTGCTGAGCCAATGAATCTTCAGCCAGCGGGGAGCCACACCAGAGTCCCTTCTTTTCCAACTCCAACATGGCCTCCAGGGACCCACCCAGGAAGGAGCCAGGCCTGGGCCAGGGGTCCAAGCAGCAGCACACAGGGCCATGCTGCGCAGGTTGCCTGGTGCCCTGTCCCCACCCTGGCGGTCAGGTGGCCTTTCAGACGGGACAGAGGGACCTAGGGACGGCTGTGTATCTGGCTTCCCAGGCTGAAGACAAGGAGAACAGTGTCCTTGTTGGGCAGCCTGTCCCCTGAGCCAGGGTAGCGGAAGGTCAGAGGGAAACGGCAGAGAGGCCCGGAGCGATGTCCCCAGTGAGGCCCAAGAAAAGGAGGTCCTTTGGTCCCCTCTCCAACTACATCATGGAGCGGGCTTGGGCAGGGGACCCGGGGTCCGAGTCCCTTCCCTGTCCCCTCCATCAGTCATCTCCCAGGTCTGGGGGCGCCAGAGCCCCGCCCCCGGGCGCCACCGCTGTCTGTGATGGATGGCTGGCTCGCAGGAGGCGGTCGCCCTGGCAACCGCACCGTCCCCATGGCAACGAGGAGGCTCGGCACGCGGGGGCGGGGCCTGCAGCAAGCATCTCCCACCCCCAGCCTGGCACTTGGGGGTTGCGAGGGTTCTCGCTGGCTCCAGGAGCTGCCTCAGTGGGGGACCAGGTCGCCGGCGTGGGGCGCTTCCACCCTCCTGTCCCAGTGGGGACTGAAACCTGAGCCTTCACAATGTGCTACATCCCCAGCACTTTTTAAGTTTGATACAGGGTCTGGCTAACTTGCTCAAGGAAGTTTTGAATTTGATAGTCTTCCTGCCTCTGCCTCTCAAAGTCTTATGATTATAGGTGTGTATCACCACACCTGGCTTTGGGGTACTTCGTTTTGGGGCTCACATCCATTCATCTCAGAAGGGGTCTGGATGAAGCAGCCAAGGTGAACCCAAGAGAGAACACAAGTTCATAACGACTGTTTTGGGGCCGGGGAGATGGCTCAGTAGAATAAGTGCTTGCCTGGCAAGCACAAGGGCCTGAGTTCAATCCCTGGTTCTGTACTGGGAATTGAACCCACGATCTCACACTTGCCAGGCAGGCACTGTGCTGCTGAGCTATATCTCCAGCCTTACAAGTTCATAAACTTCACAAAATAAAGAAAAATATAGTCTTCAATTCTAACAAAACAATAAAGTAAAAACTCCCAGGGACTCATTACTGCCCGCCCTACCATCAGCTCTATTTCACAGGTGGGGGAACTGAAGTCAGAAAGGAATCAGTCTATCATGACCATGGTCTTGGGAGTCACCTGGGATTACTGTCCCCATGGGGGGGGAGGGGCTTGAACAGGGTGAGGAAGGAAATGGGGTTTCCTTGCGGTCTTGCAGGGCGGTAGGGAGGGTCAAAGGCAGCGCAAGCCACATGACAAAAGATCTTTTTGTTTATTTGAGACACGGTCTCATTAAGAGGTCCGAGCTGGCCTTGAAGTCGCAGTGATGCTCCTGCCTCAGCCTCCCCATTACTGTGACTGCAAGTGGGCGCCACCACCACAGGCCTCACAACACAAAAAAGCTGACCAGTGGGCGACAAAGCAGAGTTTGGCTAAGGGGTAGGGAAGATCTGGAGCAAAGAGATGCTGCCCTTGGACCCAAGGAGCAGCCGCCAGCACGCACAGACGTCCCGGCCTCCGGCGATTATTTTTACGGAGCTTGGAGCCAAATCTGGGCTGCGCGTGGCTGTGGGCGGCGGGGGCCCGCGAGGGCGCCGTCTCCAGCGCGCGTGAGAGAATCCGGCTGCAGGCGATGAGCTCATGGGGCCCAGCCCGGGAGGCCTCGCTGTGGAGG